TTTTTTTTCCCCTCCCCTTTTTTAGCTTTTTAAATATTTTTTTTATTTAATGTAAAGCGCCATGGACAAATAGTGGATTGGCACTATATAAATATTTTATTATTATATAAATATTTTATTATCATTATTATTATTATTATTATTATTATTATTATTATTATTATTATTATTAGTTCAGCAATACCCTGGTATAATAGAGGAACCTGGTTTGAATCCTACTGCAGTCTTGATTTTTTTTTTGCTAAAAAGTAATTTCCCAGTAAATTGTTCACCACATGTGATGGCCATTAATTTTCGTTGTTTCATACTTACAACATTTCTACCGGTATTTAGTTTAATGTTAAAAATACCTTCTTAAGTTTTCACAATGGCTTTCAGCACTTTCAATCTTCAACAGAAGCCTTCCATTCTGACTTTTCTCATTTACCACCTACAAGGAAATTCAAAATTGTCAATCATTTCAGCTCCAGCCAGGGCTGAAAATAACGGCCGGCTATTTGCCAATGCTGGCCTGAATGAGGATGGACTGGTCAAACTTCCATGTCATCAGTCATGTGGACCAATCACATTAATTTTGTGAATGGAAAAAATGTCCCATGACTTAACTAAGATACATATGTAAAATCACATCATTCTATTTTAAATGTTTTATGACTTACATTCTGACAATAAAATATTTCAAACCACTAGGAAATTTGATTAACAATAAATCATTTTACAACCATTAACTTTTGATCCATACTTAATAATGATCTTAGTTTGGGACTGGAAAAGAAAGAGGAGGAGATGAAAACTAAATCTAGTAAACTAGTACACAGTAATGCCACCTCTTCAATGTTGCCTGTTGGGTTTTCAGGTCTACACTGATCCAGTTCCAGGCTCATATCTTTTGATCTTTGCTCCACAGAATTAGTGAACTCTTCAAGCTTCTGAAATGCTTCCTTAACATTTGATGACTCTTCTCTAAGGAGATCGTTAACCTAGAAGGAATACAATACATTTGTGTTACAGATGGACAGATTGACAAATGGATGAATGGACACAAACAGAAGATCTAATGACTGGTGGGTTGGCTGGTTTGAAGGGTAGATATACTCATAAAACAGCCTCTGCAAACTTTCTCAAGAAACAGGTGGTTATGGGAAAAAGGCAACTCTTTACAAGAGTACAGGATGACATAAGATGGCACTAATCTCACTCAGCTGGAATAGTCATAGTTTGCAAAAGCAGTTACTGTGTGTTAATGACTGAAGTTGGTTAGGCCTTATTTGTGAGCACATAATTGTCAACTTTGACTGACCAAACATTACGAGTTGCAGGAGAAATGTATGGGGCCAAAATAATTATTGCTGGTGACATAGAGTTAAAATATAATACTATGCGGTCAACAACTTTGTTTTTGTTAGTGTGCTAGTTAGGGAGTCAAAGAAAGTTGTAAATGTCTCCTCTATACTGTATGCATCAACTTCATTCAATGATTTTTATTTGTCTTCTTGTATGTAAGGTGTGATTAATAAAATCGAGAAGGGTAATTTTTAAATTAATTTTGGAACAGTTTCTGGCTCCAAAAACTTACCAATTTCTTCGAAGGCCAATTGTTTGAAAAGCTATTTTTATTCCTAAAATATAAATGGACCATTTCCGAGTTGCCTTTTGCCTCTGTGTCAAAACAAGTCTTCGTGCAAGTCCATTCAATATGAAAATGAGTTTCCCCTAAAGGTTCTTTTTCAAGCAAATCAAACTCAGTTTAATATGAAAGGTTTTGCATGAGGACTCGTTTTGAAACAGAGGCACAAGGTAACTCAGAAATGGCCTGTTAAACAAAACAGTAAATCTTAACCATTTTCAGGCAAAGTCTATCCTGAATTTCCCTTTGTAGCCTATGGTCCTGCTCTGCTTTTTCTTTCAGTAACCTTTCCTGTTCGTTTACAAGGTTGTTGTAGTTCCGCTGTCGATGAAGGATTTCCTCTTCCAGAACACTCACTTTCCCATACTGGATGTCTCGCTCCTGCAAAATTCATAAAAATTAGTATAATTATAGTTGATTGGGTCGAGCGGTCACTGTGAATGGACGTGCTTTGCTGAGCTCCGCGATACAGGAGGTTTTTTCAAGATGAAAATAACCCAGTATGGGTAAACCAACAAGGAGAAAGAAGAGAAAAGCCAGCAGTGGTTCAAATAGCAATACTTCACCAAAGCAAGAGACGAAACGCAACAATTCAGGCGAGGTCAGCTTCCTGACCAAGTCATTCATGGCGGCACAAATTGAACAAGACGAAACGAGTTCGACTTCTTCTGACACGTGGAGGGTACTCATGCGAATAGAGGACAACACCAACAACCTGATTAATGATTTTAAGGCTTTGCAATGTAATTACAATGAACTTCGGGCGTCCCTTGAATTTTTGCAAGCCAAGATTGATGATCTTTCCAAAAGCAATTCAGCTCTGCAAACTAAAATGGATGCAATGGAAAAGAATAACTTTGTACTGCAAGAAAAAATGAGTAACATGGAAAGAAAACTTCAAGAAGGCCTAATGAAGAATGTACAACTGGAAGAAAAAAATCCACGAATTGAACACAAAACACGACGATCTTGAACAATACACCAGAAAATACAATCTGGAAATTGGTGGAATCCAAGTGGTGCATGGTGAGGATCTTGAGGACATTGTCATCAAATTGGCATGAAGCATTGATACAGACGTAGGATCTGAAGACATTGACATTGTCCACCGCTTCAAAAAAGGTGATCTTCAACTAAATCCAATAATCGTTCGCTTTAATAACTATTACAGTAAGGTCATCGGAAATTATGCAAGTTAAATGTTGACACATTTCAGGTGCTGAAAGTCGAATTTACATAAATGAAAATCTAACTGCCCAAAGAGCTCCTTTATTCAAGAAAGTTCGCGACAAAAAACAGTTACGTAAAGGATGGAAAGTATGGACCACTGATGGAAAAATTTTTGTTAAACCCGATTTATCTTTAGACTATGTAATCAGGATCAACAACGTCGAAGATCTGGAAAAACTGTAGGTGTTTCCTCTCTTCTCTTCCCAATGGAACTACTTTAGCAAATCTCTTTTGTTCAACAGAACTGTCCCATATAATTACAATATACTATTGTAATTTACCTCTCATTATGCAGACCTCTTTGTTTGATTGCTGTTCCCAGGAGAGGCTTTTTTTGAAAATAGCTTTTGTTTATTTGTTTATACTGTTCTTATAAATTATCTGTGTATGTGAATTATCTGTGTACGTGTTGTGTTGTTCTTTGTCTTTTTTTCTTTTTTACCTTTTTTCGCTGCTACAATTGTGTCGATACTAAGTTGAACAATCCGATAATACCCAACCTTTGTCACTTACTTGTTTTAGATTATGGCTAACCGTGTTAAGATAATATCTTTGAATGTAAGGGGGTTATGAAATCAAGTCAAGAGAAGATCACTCTTTTCATATGTTAAGAATCAAAAAAGCAACTTTGTACTGTCTTCAGGAAACTTTTCCAGGGAAGACGACGAGAAGATACGGTCTGCCAAATGGGGAGGACAAATTATATTTCCATATGGCTCTGAACACTCTAGAGGTGTATGTATGCTTCTAAGCATAAACTCTGGATTTTCTCTTGGTACTGTGCACACTGACCGAAACAGAAGATATATAATTGCAAAAGGCAACATAGGTGACAAACAGCTTTTTGTTACCATTATTTATTCTCCAAATAAAGGTACGGAACAAGAGCTATTTATCAGAAGTCTAGGTGCCAATCTGATCTTGAAAACTGATATTATGAAGATAATTATAACAGGCAATTGGAATGGTTCTCTGTTCCCAAATTTGGCAGCCTTCGGTGGAAAGAAACAAACTACAGAAACTCCATTATCGATCTTATGGAAGAATTAGACCTAGTTGACATATATCGTAAGCTTCATCCAAACACCAAAGCCTTTACGTACGAGTTGAAAAGTTTAAAGCTTAATTCTAGGATTGACTACTTTCTTGTCTCCAATACAATAGCCATAAACGCAAAAAGAGCAGAGATCCAACCATCCATCGCACCTGACCTCAAAGCAATTTTCTTGTCTTTTGAAATCCAAGGGGAATTTAAAAGGGATGCGGGATCGTGGAAATTCAATCATCAATAATTATTATTAGAAGACCAAGACTACATAAATCTTATCAACACACTTTACCCCAAAATTCTGGATAAATACAAAGATGTTAGAAGTGAAAAGCTTCTTTGGAAAATGATTAAAATGGAAATTTGCTCTAAAACCATTCAATACTCCAAAAATAAAAGATTAATTTTAAAAAGACAGGAAATTGAACTGCAGGAAGAAATCCAAAAGTTAGACCAGCAAATATGTGACAATCAATATTTCAATCAAAACTTATTGAATAACTACAAATTAGCTAAGAAAGAATTAAAAGATATGTACGATTCAAAAGGAAAAGAGGCTATGTTTAGATCCAAAGCAAGATGGTTTGAGCAAGGAGAGAAGCCAGCAAAATATTTCTTCAACCTGGAGAAACAGAATTACGATAGAAAGATAGTTAAGGAGCTTAAGGATGAGAACGATTAAATACTTACCAATTTCAAGGAGGTAAACAAGAAAATTGAAGACCACTTCTCTAAAATTGTCCAAAGTGGTAATGTTCAAAGAGTAACCTTTAACCAGTTTGCAAAAGACGTAGAGATTCCAAGGTTAACTAACGAAGAACAAATTGAGATGGAAAATGATCTTACAATGGAGGAAATTAAGAGACTTATAACACTCTTTCAGAGAAACAAAATGCCGAGCGACAACGGTTTTTCAGTTGAATTTTATGAAGTCTTTTTAGACCTGCTTGGAGGAAATCTTCTGGATTGCTACAATGAAGCCTTCCATGAAAACCAACTCTCAATCTCGCAAAGAAGAGGAGTCATTTCCCTCTTACCAAAAAGTGAGGAAAACTTGAATGAAATAGCATGCTGGCACCCAATAACCCTTCTTGATGTCGACTATAAAATTCTCGCTAGGATGATAGCGACGCGCATCGAACCCTCACTTCTGTCTTTAATTCATTCCGATCAAACTGGCTTTATAAAAGAAAGGTACATCGGACAGAACATCCGCCTCTTAGATGACCTAATAAACTTTACCGGTGCTAACAAAATCCCTGGAATTCTTCTTTTTATAGACTTCGAAAAAACCTTTGATACTGTTGGAAATCACCAGTTCACCCAACACTAGTCTTGTCTCAAATCTTTTATTTGTCACAAAGCTCACCAAAAATCTCAACCGTCACCGAACAGGTTGGTTTTCTACTCTGAATTACAGATCATTCCTTATTGTAAATGTATTCTATGTTCACGTGATCAACTTGTCGCTCAAGCTTAGTTACATTAATCTGTTTGGTTGTTGATTACTGTCATGGTCCTTGTCATGATATGAATTTCCATTTTTGTCACCCACCTATGAGTAGTGCAGCCATGAATCTTTAACAGATACTTAACAATGGAGTTTTCTCCATCAAGCCTTAGAAATCCTCAAGATCAGAAAGTGGGTCTCAATTCTCTACAACGATATCGAAAGTGAAGTGATGAACGGCGGGTACATGACAAATTATTTTAAAGTCACTAGAGGTGTACGGCAAGGATGTCTGTTAAGTCCCTTTTTATTTGTACTTGCAGTGGAAATTCTGGCACTAAAACTCCGCCATGATCTGGACTGTAAGGGTATCATACTACCTAACTCGCGTGAAGCAAGATTGATGCAATTTGCAGACGATACAACTGTGATTTGGAGAAAGAAGGACATAACAATTAATCAAAAAACACTGTTTTGGAAAACTTGGTTCAAGAGTGGAATTTGTTTTGTGCAAGACCTCTTAAATAAAGACAGAAAATTCTTATCTCTTGGTGAATTCAATGAAAAATTTGGTTTGAAAGTCAATTACCTGCAATACTTTCAAATTATTGCTGCTATACCAAGTTCACTNACGGTTTTTCAGTTGAATTTTATGAAGTCTTTTTAGACCTGCTTGGAGGAAATCTTCTGGATTGCTACAATGAAGCCTTCCATGAAAACCAACTCTCAATCTCCCAAAGAAGAGGAATCATTTCCCTCATACCAAAAAGTAAGGAAAACTTGAAAGAAATAACATGCTGGTGCCCAATAACCCTTCTTAATGTCGACTATAAAATTCTCGCTAGGATAATAGCAACGTGCATCAAACCCTCACTTCCGACTTAAATTTATTCCGATCAAACTGGCTTTATAAAAGGAAGTTACATCGCACAGAACATCCGCCTCTTAGGTGACCTAATGAACTTTACCAATACTAAGAAAATCCCTGGAATTCTCCTTTTCATAGACTTCGAAAAAGCCTTTGATACTTTAGAATGGAGCTTTCTCCATCAAGCCTTAGAAATCTTCAACTTCGGGCCTAAGATCAGAAAGTGGGTCTCGATTCTCTACAACAATATCGAAAGTGGAGTGATGAATGGCAGGTACATGACAAATTATTTTAAAGTCTCTGGGGGTATACGGCAAGGATGTCCGTCAAGTCCTTTATTTGTACTTACAGTGGAAATTCTGGCACTAAAATGCCGCCATGATCCCGACTGTAAGGGTATAATACTACCTAACTCCCATGAAGCAAGATTGATGCAATTTGCAGACGATACAACTGTGATCTCAAGCACTATAGCATCTCTCAAAACATCACCTCAGATAATCAATAGCTTCGGTGCATTATCAGGCCTGAACCTGAACAAAACCAAAACAAAGATAATGTAGATCGGTTCTTGAAAAGGTAATAAGGACAGAACTATGGGTTTCAAGTGCATAACAGAACCTATTAAGGTTCTTGGTATGTTTTTATCATATGATGGAGACAAAAACAATGAGGAAAATTTCTTCAGTAAAATTCGTAAAATGAAGACGAAACTGAATATTTGGCAAACACAAAATCTCTCACTGTATGGACGTTCAATGCTGGCGAAGACAGTGGGTGTCTCT